TCTTTTAGGGAGTTTAAAAAAATAAAAAAAAGTTGAAATAAAGAAAGAATAACGAAAATGTCAGCGAAAGGAAAGGGAGGTCGAGCAAAGAAATCAGGAAAATCAACAAGCAAGTCCGCTAAAGCTGGACTTCAGTTTCCTGTTGGTCGTATAGGTAGATATTTAAAAAAAGGAAGATATGCAAAGAGAGTAGGAGCTGGTGCTCCTGTATATATGGCAGCAGTATTAGAATATCTATGTGCTGAGATCCTTGAGCTCGCAGGAAACGCAGCTAGAGACCACAAAAAAACACGTATCATACCCAGACATATACAGCTGGCTGTACGCAATGATGAAGAACTAAGCAAATTCCTTGGTGGGGTCACCATTGCTTCAGGTGGTGTTATGCCGAATGTACATTCTGTACTTCTCCCAAAGAAAAGCAAGAGCAAGAAGATGTCTCAATAAATAAATATAATATATAAAAAGAAGAGAAATATATAAATATAGAGAGAGAGATCCGTCCTTCTTTCTTCTCCTTTTTATCTCTTCTTTATATATATATATATTTATATATATATGTTTTTCTATAAATATATATATATTATATTATATATGCGAGAAAGAATGATTGTTTATTATATAGGGCCGTAGCAGTATAAAGGTTTCATATACACTTCTTCAGGTGTATAGGCACCTCATTCTCATCATCCCTTAGGCTTCTCTAGAAGCCACCACAAATAAAAAAAAAATAAAATAATTATTTTTTTCTTTTTTTATGCAGGTGGAGTTTGTGTGTGTTCTCCTGGGGTGTATAGGCAGCTCCAGGATTCAGGTGTACGTACACCTCAGCTTTCTTTCTCTTCCTGCTTCTTTTCTGCTGCAGATGCAGCAACCAACCAAAACTTTTATTGTTCAAGCTCTGCATGCTTATGCTGTTGCTGCTGCTGCTGCTGCTGCTGCTGCAGCAGCAGTATGTCTGTGTTGTTTTGCTGCGGTGGTTGCGATGTAGGGTTTCAGGTTTCTCGTGTCAGGAGGGTTTAGGGTTTAGCTCTTTGTCTATGAGGGTTTGTTGTCGAGGGTTTAGGGTTTAGCTGTCTCTCTATGAGGGTTTGTTGTCGAGGGTTTAGGGTTTAGCTGTCTCTCTATGGGGGTTTGTTTTCTAGGGTTTAGGGTTTAGTTCTTTGTCTGAGGGTTTGTTGTCTAGGGTTTAGGGTTTAGTTGTTTACCTCTTCTGGTGCTTTTAGGGTTTATCTCTATCTCTCCTTAAGCTGTTAGGGTTTAGGGTTTGTCTCTATATCTCATCAGGCTCTGAGGGTTTAGGGTTTCTCTCTGTCCGCCTCTTCCCAGGCTGCTAGGGTTTAGGGTTTGTCTCTATCTGTCCATTGCGGCAACTAGGGTTTAGGGTTTATCTCTATCGTCAGGCTGTTAGGGTTTAGGGTTTAGCTCTATCCCCCCCCAAGCAGTTAGGGTTTAGGATTTGTTTCTTTCCCTCTTCCTTGGTGTCAGGGTTTAGGGTTTAGGGTTTATTTGTTCTGTTGAGGGTTTCTGTTGTCTATTTTGGGGGTTTAGGGTTTAGCTGTAAACCCTAAACCCTACACTTTCTAGGGTTTATTTAGGGTTTAGCTTTAAACCCTAAACCCTAGACCTAGGGTGTATTTAGTGTTTAGGGTTTACCTGTAGACCCCAAACCCTAGAAGCGTTAGGGTTTAGGGTTTAGCTGTAAACCCTAAACCCTAGATTTTTTAGGGTTTATTGAGTATTTAGGGTTTAGCTCTAAGCCCTAAGCCCTACACCTTCTAGGGTGTATTTAGTGTTTAGGGTTTAGGGTTTAGCTGTAAACCCTAAACCCTACACTCTTCAGGGTTTAATGTTTAGGGTTTAGGCAGCGCAGAGAAACTCAGATGAAGGGTTTAGGGTTCAGGGTTTAGGGTTTAGGGTTTAGCTCAACAAACAAATGCCGCAAAACCCTCGAGGGTTTATGTAGAGGGTTTAGGCAGCTAAGGCTTCTGAAGCCTCAGCAGGTACTTCCTGCTGCTGCTGCTGCTGCTGCTCTTGCTGCTGCTGCTGCTGCTCATGCTGCTGCTGCTGCTGCTCTTGCTGCTGCTGCTGCTGCTGCTCGGGCTGTTGCTGCTCTTGCTGCTGCACAGCCTGCTGCTGTTCTTCCATTTGCTGCTGCTGCTCTCCCTGCTGTTGCTGCTGTTCTTCCTGCTGCTGCTGTTGCTCTTCCTGCTGCTGCTGCTGTTCTCCCTGCTGCTGCTGCTGCTGCTGCTGTTCCTCCTGCTGCTCATTCTGCTGCAGCTGCTGCTGTTCCTCCTGCTGCTCGGTCTGTTGCTGCTGCTGCATCTCTACCTGCTCCTGCTGCTGCTCTTCCTGCTGCTGCTGCTGCTGCTCGTCTTGCTGCTGCTGCTGCTGCTGCTGCTGCTCTTCTGCTGCTGCTGCTGGTAGAGGTGTTTCTATAAGGTCGCTAATGCCTGTGATGGGCCCTGGCTTATGCTGCAGCAGGTCTCTATAGTGGTGG